TCTACAAAACTGAAGGCGCGAAGCTTGAACGCTCAATGCTCCGCTCTATGCTACCAATGAGTTGTTACTCATATCAGGGTGAAAAATTAAAAAACAAGGCCATTAAACGTCTCTTCCATCTTCGACTGTGTCTATCACGTGGCCCGTGAAGCGCATTCACAGATAAAACAAACGGAACCAACAGCCAACACAACACGAAAATAGCGTAGCGAAAGGACTCGCTTTAATGACGGCGCAGAGATACAACTATTCGTGCTTGATGGATGTCCGTGTTGCGTCTTCAAGACTGAAGGCGCTATGGCGGGATGAAGCGTGAACTCTCAATGATTTTCTCTATGCTACCAATGAGTTGTCACTCATATTGGGGTGAAAAATTAAAAAAACAAGGCCATTAAACGTCTCTCCTATCTTCGACTGTGTCTATCACGTGGCCCGTGAAGCGCATTCACAAATAAAACAAACGGAACCAACAGCCAACACAGCATGAAAATAGAGTAGCGAAAGGACTCGCTTTAATGACGGCGCAGAGATACAACTATTCGTGCTTAATGGATGTCCGTGTTGCGTCTTCAAGACTGAAGGCGCTATGGCGGGATGAAGCGTGAACTCTCAATGATTTTCTCTATGCTACCAATGAGTTGTCACTCATATTGGGGTGAAAAATTAAAAAAACAAGGCCATTAAACGTCTCTCCTATCTTCGACTGTGTCTCTCACGTGGCCCTTGAAGCGCATTCCCAAATGAAACAAACGGAACCGACAGCCAACACAGCATGAAAATAGAGTAGCGAAAGGACTCGCTTTCAGAAACATGTGTTCCAAAGAAGATCACTTTCATCAAATTTTAAAAACAAAAAAAAATTGTGACAGTTTTTCTTAAAATTTTCTTAGAACTTACTTTCTCAGAATATTCTCCATAGAACACATCACATATTTTCCGTGGTTAGAAAACTTTAAACAAGAGGAATGGACGCTCTGACAGGGAAAAAAATTGAGACTTGCGGACCAAAGCGAATCGAGCACTTGCGGGAAGACACTGAAGCAACATAGATCAAAAGGCACCGAAAGGTAGGAACAAGATGACATTTTCAAGATTCCATGGGAAACGTTCCTTGGTATTCCACCAGCATTGGAAGAAACTACTGATTTTTCAAATGAAAGATCATTTGCGACAATATTCTCTGCTTTTGCAGAGAAATGACACACAGGATTGAGAGCCATGGAACTTAAGTTTTGAGAGGTATCATGCACAAGTATTTCTTCGGTACCACGTACACATGAATTACATAATTAAGACAATTTTGACTCACCAGTGAAGACAATGATAAGTGGACCATCAGCTTACAGAAAGGTACTGAAAAAGAGGAAATAATCCATTGACAAAAATCTAAAACATTCCTTGAGTACTTAATTCTCTTCTGAGAAAAACATCACACGCAATAAACTTCAAACTTCATAGGAGACACAAAAAGACTGATTTTTTGCATTTGAAAATATTTTTGTTGCGAATGCATACAATATTTTCAAGTTCTGATAATGTTAATTCAATGAAAGTTCAAGAAAAAAGAAACACTGTACAGAAAGTGACATTTGCTTGGGATACTGATTTGTGGATTCAGTAAGCAAAAAATTATGTTTCATAACATGCCCTGTCTTTTCTGACCTGAAGAAATTCCCAGCTAACCAGACTTGTGTAGGAAT